ACATTTTTTATCATATTGATTTTCCGTTCTAATTTCAACACGTATTATTAATTACTGTCATCTTTCCTTTTGATTTAGTTTTCCTTTATTTTAGTTTTTCTTTGAGTTTATCACATCCAAATTTAATCGCTTAGATAAAGTTAAGATATGATATTCACAATAGTTAGTTTATATTTTTAACGTCAATCCTCGTGGGACGATATCGGTCTTCAGACCACTTTATTACTTGTACGACTTGTGCACTTGCAAGCATAGTCAAATTATTTGCAACAGAGGTCTTGGGGTTTTTGCTGCTTTTGTGTGCGTATGGATTGGTTGATGAGTTTGATATTGGTGAAATGCTGAGTGTTTTTGAGAGTATTGGGCAGCAGAGTGAACAAGCTGAAGCTAGTGAGTTGGGAATCGAGATTGGTCCAGATGACACGGATCCAAGTATGTTCTTTATGTCTTTGTGTATTTGTTTGTCTTTTGTGCTATGGTGTATATGCATTAGCAATATGGTTGTATATTCCTCCTAGAATAATGCCAGGAATTATAACTTTTTGATACCAACTGACGCATTAAGTGCATTGTCATAAAAATAAGTGTCTAAAAGAGTTACCGCATCAATACTAATATTGCATCTTGATGAGGTGGTCCATTAATATCTTTGTCCTGAAAAAGATTGTCTTATTTGTGTGCTAGACCTATGCCGTCGCAAGTGCAATAGTCTGGTATTATGTGCATTGGGATTGCTACTAGTTTGAAATAAATTTAGGTATATGGAACTTTGTTTGCTTACTTGCTGATGGTCTCCTCATGTTGTGAATTGTTTGATGATGCACCTGCTTAGGAAACACTACCCTTGATTCTCAAGAAAAGACTGACCGGTCAACGAAGGAACAGTTACAGGTGGTCGATCAAATAGCATCTTCATTTGCAAGCCGCTTGGAAGCTCTCGAGTATTTTTGTGTTGGTATGGATGGAAGGAGTTTGAAATTGTTTCTCTGTCAGCATGTGGAGGAGCATGATTCATTCTGCAATGAGGTTTGTGATGCTCTAAGTTATGCTCCGGATCCGGCAAAGCTTGTCTTGGATGCAATACCAGGTTTTTTATATTCACTACCCAAGTTTGATAAGAGTCTATCAATCAATAAAGTCAGAAAGAGTTGCATTCTTTTGTTAGAGCAATTGATGACAATATACCCCCAGCTCAGCCCTCAAGTGAGAGAGGAAGCTTTAAAGATGGCAGGTGAGTGGGGAGCTAACTTGGGACAGATTACTGAACACCCAGTGACCGTATATGGATTTCTGCTTTTTCTAGCAGCATATGGATTAAAATCTTATTATGATGCGGATGAGCTTCTTCGCCTTTTCGTAATCGCTAGTCGTTATAAAGCCTCTCCCACTTTATGTCAAGTTTTTGCGTTGTCAGATAAAGTAGATGGTAAGCTGATCACAGACTTGGTTAATATTCAATACAGCTTTTAAGTAGCAGCACTTTCAATAATCATTTAGGATTTTTTTTTTTTTTATAATATACATCATTTAGGTTTTTAAATTATCGTATACGCTTTCAGCTGATTAAGATTTGGGTCAGAAACTCTTTTCAATATATCGTATAAGATTTCAACTTAACATTTGGGTTACTTTGCGCTTTGTTGTAATTTTTACACTGACGTCTTATATAGTATTTCCTAGTTATTTTATATTTAAATTCTCTGGAGAATTCCTGTAATGCTGTCGGTTCAACTTCTCTGTTGGAGAGAATTTCCTTTATTGATTTTTGTAATTATGGTTGCTACTTTTCAAAAATTATTGTAGTTTGTACGAGTTTGGTTTAAATTTATAGTTCACTTGCTGATGGTATCTCCATGTAATGCTTGATGTTATGACTGCTTAGCGAGAGCTATCCTTCATTCCCGACCAAAAGTTGAACCATCTCAGAGTCAAAGTGGGTATTCAAAGTTGGATAACCAAGCAATTTCTTTTCCCACTGATCCGTGGCCTCAACTAGAGTCTTTCTGTATCAGTATGGATGGAAGAGGTTCAAATTTTCTATCCCATGAGAAAGTGAAGGAGCATGATTCAGTGGCTTCTTCATCCACTAGCCCTTGGCCTGAACTGAAATCCTTATGCATCAATATGGACGGAAAGAGTTTGAGATTGTTTCTCTATAACCATGCGGCGGAGCATGATTTCATATGCAGTGAGGTTTGTGACGCTTTACAGTACGCGTCCGACCCAGCAAAGCTTGTTTTGGATGCAATACCGGGAATTCTCAGTTCGCAGCCCGACTTTGACAAGAGTTTATCATTGAATAAAGTCAGAAAGAGCTGCGTTCTCTTGCTAGAGCAATTAATAAATATATCACCCGAGATCAATCCTCAAGTTAAAGAGGAAGCTCTGATGATGGCAAATGAGTGGAGAGCTAATTTGGGACCGCAATATCAGGCTGGTTTGAATGTGTATGGATTTCTGCATTTTATAGTAGCTTATGGATTCACGTCTAACTATGAGGCAGATGAGCTTCTCGGTCTTTTGGTAACCGCGAATCAGCACAAAGCGTCTCCTGGTTTATGTCAGATCCTTGGTTTGGCAGATAAAGTCGAAGGTGAGCAGATCCTGAAAATTGTTTCTAATAATGTAACCCTTTCATAATGAGAATGAACATCTTTCTTTACTGAAATTCTAATCTGTTCGAACTTCTTATGTTGTCCATCTCAAACTTCAGTTTCATCTTTCCATGCAATCTGTCGTCTGTTTTAGATTTATTACTGAATTAGGATACCTGGAATTCGGCTTAGGTGATATAGTTTGATGTAATCTGCGGTTCTTGATTATTGTCTGACAGTTCTTATCAAAAATCTCATACAAAAGACTCTGCTACTTGAGGCCATTGAACACATATATGCATTTGAAGTGAAGGATATGTTCCAACCTGTACATCTCCTGAAGGATTATCTGAAGCAATCGACGAAACAAATATACAAGAAAGGAACCAAATCGGTTTCGAGACAGGTATCATTTTTTTCTTCAAGTTACACTTCGGGATTTTCCACAGCTCTGAGTCCATTTGTTGACTGAACTTTGCTCATGGTTTCAGGCCATAGACAAAGAAATAGATGCTGTGAGGACCGTAATCAGATATATCGCTAAACTCAAGCTTGAATCAGAATACCGACCTCAAATTCTCGAGAACTATATCGTTCAGCCGGAAAAGAAGAAAAGGCACATGTAAATGAATGACACTGCAAAGTCAGAAAAGTAGAGCGAAAAGCATAAACATACTCAATTCAGGTCATCTCTAAATGCTCAAGCTTAAGCTAGTCTTCTTGTTCTTATTGAAATTCATAGTTTGGGGTATAATGCTGCTGCTATTACGGGTTTTTTTTCGGCAGGACGGATCTGGAGTGCCAATCTCTACTTTTTTTTACTCTTCAGATGAGCTCACTAAGATGGGCAGTTATAATTTGATGATCCTAAAAGTGGGTGCATTGGGCATTCTTTATCTGCTGAACATAAAACGAGTACTGAGGTTTCGCTTAAAGAGAGGAGAAGTGTAGTTGTATGTTTGAGGCAATAAGACTGTCGTGTATAGAAATATTGGGGACAAAGGATTATTCATACCTGTGTGATTTCTATAATTTGGTTCTTGTAATTTTTCTTTTTTGGTCGATGAAAATCACAAAGACTGAAAGACATGTGATATTGGTGGATTATCACAAAGATAATGTTGTATCTTAGCGCTTAAGGCCATTTAATGATTATAACATTAGAGGTGGATTTTGGATTATAACACAAAATTAACCTCTAAATTAGAGGCGGATTTAGGATTATAACACAAAATTAACCTCTAAATTAGAGGCGGATTTAGGATTATAACACAAAATTAACCTCTAAATTAGAGGCGGATTTAGGATTATAACACGAAATAAAGTTTGCAACTAATATTTTTTGCATAAATTATTATAGGTTAGAGGTGAACATTTAAGGATGAAAGCGACTAATTAAATTTGCAACTCTATTTTGTTTTTTTATATACAAGTTTACTTTGATCATAACATGCAAGTCAGCATTATTGAAGTTGTAACTGTGCATGATCAGACTGTGCGAATCTCGAAAATCTTTTGAAGGCCTGAAATTTTCATTCAAGGGCATTTGAAGAGCATATTTAAAATGAAACTCAATCATGAGCCTATAAGACAAAATTTATGGAAATGCGTTCACCAGTGTGAGGGTATGCTCAAGATTTTGTGAAAAGTAAATTAATACAGTCAACAATGATGCGGTTTTTTCTTCTTCTTTTTGGATAAGAAAAACTTTTTATTAATATGAACAAAAAAAGATATTTTTATGGTAGGTTTTGAAAAAAAAAAAATCATTATGTATATTTTTTTCATTTCACGTGATTTTAACTATGTTTATCAAAAACATCAACTAGCAGTAGTACCCCGACCAAAGAAGCATCCAAAGGGAACAAATTAAATAAAAAACAAAATAAAAGCAGGAGGACAAGTAAATTCTTAAAAAAAAAATAAAAATAAAAAATAAAAAATAAAAAACCTCAAAACAACAAATGAAAGCCGTGTAAAAACAATACACAATATCGAAGAAAATTCAGTATTTCAGTTTTATGGTAAGCTAGATATGAAATAATATTAGTTTTGAGCATATTTTTCCCATTTTTAGAGGAAATTACTGAACTTATTATTAAAGTACATGAATTTAAATTTTTATCATTTATTTTTAATAAATATCTTTTTAATTAATATAATTATGTGACTAAAAAATATTAATTAAAAATAAAAAATAAAAATCCAGTAAGGGAAAATCCAATTTTAACACCCGTTTGCTAAACGTGTTGGATTGCAATAGTTTAACAAGTTCGGGGAGGTAATAGCTAAAATTAAACAATTTGAGGGGACAATTGCAATAAAAACGCAATGATATTTATCCCCAAGCTAACGTTCAAATAAGTCAAGGGCTCAGACCACTGTCCCTTCGTTTCCCTTCTGCTTCTTCTTTCCTCTTCCTTCTTTTCCCATCATCTTTCTTCTTTTCCTTTCTATCCTTAATTTGCGGCTATCGTCTTTGAGAAAACATGAAGCGGCTCCCACACGTTTAGGGCTATGCCCACTTGTATGTATGTTTAGTGTTTTGACGTTTTTAGTTTTCTTTCTTTCTTTCTTCTTGTTTCGTCTGTAACAGTTTGTGTGAGTTTATCTCTCTAATGGGGGCGGAGGAGATAACCTCCGATTTGAAAATCTCGGAGTTGAAGCAGGGCGTTCTCTGCAAAGCGCACGAAGAATTCCATTCCCAGGCTTCTTCGATGCTCGTCTTCAGTCTTCAATGGAGGGACTTGGAGAACCACTTCGAGTCCATTCGCAAGTCGCTGCGAACCCAACTCCAAGGCCTCATTGAACGCGAGGAGCACGTCGCGAGTAGAGAGAGGCAATTGGAGGCTCGAGAGGCGGAATTAAGCTCGAATCTCGATTCGAAAGCGAAGGAATTGGAGGGTATCGAGAAGTTGATCGGAGAACAGGCGAAAGCTCTCGAATTGAGTTTGCAACATCTTGATTCTCTGAAATCGCTGATTCAGGAAAACCGGGAAGAGCTTGAGGTTAAAGAGAGGCAATATGTTGCGATTCAGAAATTGATCAAAGAGGGAGAGGAGGAATTGGAGTCCTTGGAGAAGAGGATAAAGCAGCAATCTAAGGAAGCAGAGTCCAAAGAGAAGGAACTTGATTCGATGCAGAGGAGTTTGAGGAGTTACAAAGACGATATCGAGTTGAAAGATAGGGAATATAATGCGATTCGGAGGTCGGTTGAGGAACGTAAGAAGGGATTCGAGTTGAAAGGGGAGCAACTCAGAATGTGTAGGAGCTCCATTGATGAATGTGAGAAAGAGATTAAGTTGAAAGAGGAAAATCTTAATTCTTTACGGAATTCCATAGCCGAATGCTCGAATGAACTCAAGTTGAAACAAAAGCAACTTCATTTAGTTGAGAAACATCTTGAGTTAAAAGAGAGGAAATTTGTTTCACTGAAACAATCAGTTGACCAATGCGCTCAACAGTTTGAGATGAAAGAGATGAAAATTGAAGGTTGCTTAAAGGAGCTCGAATTGAAGGAAAAGTTATGTGAATCAAAATCGAGGGAACTCGATTTGATGTATAAGAAGGTTGAGGAATGCCTTAAAGAATGTGAAGTGAAAGAGAAGAATTTTAGTTCACTCCAAAAATTGGTACAGAAACGTTCACGTGAACTTGAAGCCAAAGAGAGTCGATTTAAGAAAACTGTCGTTGAGTTTAAAATGAGACGGAAAGAGTTAGAGTCGTCTGAAAAATCAAATGAGGTGAGAGTGAAAGAAAAGACTAATATCCTCCCTTTTCAAGTAAAGGTTGAGCAACCTGAATATACTCATGCCAACAATGCTGCAATTTCTCAATCCATCACAAAGACGGGAAAAGACTTGCAGTTCATATTGAATCGGCATTTGAAGAGGCACGATTCCGTTTGTGGTGAACTTTTTTCTGTTCTTCAAGCGTCGCCAGATCCTGCGAAGTTGGTGTTGGATGCGATGGAGGGGTTTTATCCTTCGCAGTCGAGAGGGCAAAACAGCAAGTTCGATGTGAATATTGTTAGGAGAAGCTGCATTCTTTTGTTGGAGCAGCTAATTGGATGCTCGGCTCAGATTAAACCTCAGGTGAGAGAAGAAGCGGTGAAGTTGGCGAGTGATTGGAAGGCTAAGATGAAGAAGGAGAATTACTTGGAGGCTGTGGGTTTTATGCAGTTCTTAACTAGCTATAGATTGGCATCTACATTTGATGCGAATGAGCTTCGCAGTCTTCTTGATATTGTTGGGCAAAGACAAGGATCGGAACTACGTCAAACCCTTTCAACCGCAGATAAAGCACCTGGTAATCTTCTATCTACTTCTGTTTAAATTATTAGGTATATGATATACACATGATAAAATTTGGTTGTTTGATCAAGTCCAAATTTCATGATTCTTTTTTGTTTTACTCTTAAGCTTGAGTAGAAATTTGTATAGCATTGCCAACAAATGTCTTTAGGGATCTCGATTATCCTTCCTTGCAAAACGTGAGAGAGTTGTCTAAAATATGCCTTTGTTGGTTTGAACCAAAAAGTTTTGGTTCACTTTTTTTCTACAATGTTTTCTCTCACAAAAAATTTAACAGATGAACCAAAGGAGTTATATATTTCTTCAGTTGTCCAGCAGCATTGGTTGCATTTCTGGACCTGCCACTTTTACCTTGAATGAATTTAACATTCAATCTGTTTTAGATTTTCCTTCTATATGAGTTGTGTACCTGGATAGATTTTCAATGACATCTTTTAATAACTAAATTACAAGGTTTTTTTTTTTTTTTTTTTTTTTCCGGAGCATACATGTAAAATGCCTTTTTGGTTAGAATTATTTTTCCTGGCTTCTTTTCTGAAATATAGCCAGGAAAGATAGCAAGTCCCCTTGCTGGAGCTACAAACAACAGATTTTGAAAGGGTCCTACGGTTATCAGGTGTCAGCAGATTAGTTGATTGCCAAAAATTATGCACATTGTTTACAATACTAGAAACTAGCATGAAACTTTTTTTTTTTTTCACAGTTACTATTAAAATCGAGCAAGCAGAAAATTCATCTGCCGGTGCTGTGACAAGCTCTCCAAATCTTCAGTTGAGCACCACGCAGAATGACATTTTTGCTCAACTTCAAACGTTACCTGATCTGGCGAAATTTGTCTTGGACCATATCCAATGGTGTTTGTCTCAACATTGGAAGAGAGGAGATGCAGCTTTTGAGGAAAATTCCATGAGATATTGCATTTTTCTGTTTGAGAAGCTGTGGAGAATCTTTCCAAGAATCCAACCTTCGGTGAAAGAAGATGCTATGAAACTAGCAGGAGAGTGGAAAGACAAAATGAGAGAAAAAACCGAAAATCATTGGGAGGCTTTGGGTTTTCTGCAGTTTCTGGCCGCATATAGATTGGTTTCTTCATTTGGTGACGATGAAATTTTGAAGTTTTTGGAGACAATTTCCCAGCATAAAGAAGCTCTGAAATCATGCCTTTCCCTTAGTTTTGCCAGCCAGATCTCTGGTAAGGTTTCTGAAATTTTGCCTTTTCAGCCTCCAGTTTTGGCGGGAGTTTGTTAATTTTTATCATTCTTTATAATTGAGAATGGACTTGCCGAAAATTATTATAGATAATAAAGTTTGTGATTTTTTCGTTATGAATGTGAAATGGCATTAGGAACAAAAACTCATTGCAATTATTTTTTGATTGATTTGAGCGTGCCTGATTTGTTGTTTCAAATGGACTTTTGCGCTGAGTTCTGATAATCCGCTTTTTTTTTTTTCTCCGGTTTGAATTGCCTGTGAGATTTGATGGAATATGCTTTTGTACGACACTTGATTTATTTTGCATGTGGCAGAATTTGTTCGGAATCTTATTCGAAGGAAGAAGCTCACTGATGCTGTTGGACTTATTTGCAAATTCAATTTAACCCATAGGTTCTCGCCACTACCATTATTGACCAATTACATGGAGGACCTGAAGGAGTATACCAAAGTAAATTGCAAGGGAAAGAAACCTATTGAAGAAAAGGTATTAAAGCATTGCTTAGCTATTTCTCCGAGATGTTGGTATTGGCTTCTTAGTCTACCACTTAATTCCCGGTATCATTCGTATATTTATCAAGGCCTATTGTTGCTTACAGGATAAGATAACGGATGATGAGATTGCGGCACTATCAGCAGTGATTAAATGCATTAAAGATTACAATCTTGATTCCAAAAACTTTTTTATCGCTATTTTGAATCGCCTTAGGCTGTTGGAACAGATGAAGAGGGATAGGAGACGTTCGGCACATTTGACTCACTCCAAGATTGAACAAGAACATCAGCAGCAGGCATGGAAGAAACGAAAAAATAACACTGTTGCTGACCATGGTCAACCACAACGAGGCAACAATAAGTTCCCTCGGGCATCTTCATCGACTGTTGGACCCCATGGCCCGCACATTTTCGCCCCTGTTTTTCCACGACCACCAGATTTTCCACCGAATCCGCATGCTTTTCTATAGACTCTCTGCAGTTTGTCTTAGGTGGAACCATGGAAGCGGGGACATTGTTCGTCCTAATAGGGGTGTTTTCCCTAATGCTGGATTGCGCTACTGAAGTATGAAACATCTCTAAGCTCAAGGTATTGCCTTTTTCTCAAGTCACAATTTAAATTTTAGCATGATTTCACACTAGTCAAGAGTGCTACTTACCAGAGTAGTTGTAAATAGTAGATGATAAGCCCAGTATGTAGTAGTAGTACTAGTAGCAACTAGCTATCTGCTGTTTATTGTCGTTTACAGTTTCTATGACCTTGAACATCTTAACACAAGTGACTGTACCGCAACAGACACTATGGCTGGAATATTTTGATAGATTAGCAACGATATTTAACGTTAAGTATACTTGGGCAGCGTAATTTTGTGTCGCTTATATTAATTATTTGTCCACTACTAAAAATCAACAACGACAACTTACCCTTAAAAGAGTAGAAGAAGAAGAAGAAGTCAATATGTGTGAGCATGAGATCTATACGTTATGATTCCTGCCACACCACATTTCCCAGCGCTTCTTTTTTTATTGTAATTTGAACTTTTAATTTTTAATAATTAATCCCTTTAATTTATCAAACTGTTGTAATTTGGCCTGAATTAATAACAGGGATATTCACACGCTTCTCATTTTTTTTGGTACTTGCTACTTTATCTTCCAAACTTTTTGTATTTTTGGCAAATTCTCTTAAACTTTTATTTTTGGTAATTAATAATTAGTCATGTTCTATTCGAAATCGTTATGAGTGATGTAACCAATTTCGATAATATCGTAATGGCTTAACAAATTTAAAGGTTTAGTTGTGAAGATTAACCTACATCTGATTCAAACCACCCAAAACCCATATACCAAGGCCTAAAAGACAAAATTCACGAGTAACTATTACAAAGAGCCAATGGGAATGGTCACGTGCTTTTTCTATTTCTTTTTTCTTTTTCTTTTTTTTTTATATAAGTCAGTGACCAGTGACCACTCCCTGCATCGCAATTGCTTACCATAATGACATGAAAAAATGTATTGAGTGGCAACTTGCACATGCAAACATTTTCTTAATAAATGTTCACAAAGATTCAATTTTTTTGTGGAAAGAAGTTTCAATATGAGCTAAAAATGAAAGTTTAGAACGGTTCGGCTGAATCTGACGGCCATAATGAAAATTTGAGGCCAATCTAGCCCTACGGGTAGAGATCCACATTGAAACTTTATAAGTTATTTTCAAAAAAAAAAAATTTAAAAAGGTGTTCAGGCTTGACTCGAATAAATTTTTTACTCAACACCTCGACTTGGACTCAAGCCAATAGGATTGGGCCTCGAGTTGGCCCATTTAATTCACCCAAACTTGCAACTATAATATGCAGGATTACCATAGGTTTTGGACTTTGATTAAAATATGTCAATAATGCTACAATTAAATATACTTAAAAATCATAAAATCCATCAAAATCAGAAATATATACATGAAAAACCACAAAACGTCTTACGAAATCTAAAATACAGAATCAATTGCACAAAAATATAAATATAATTTTGATCAAAACGCTAAAATAATGTTATTGTGATATATTTTATAATAATTTTAATACTCACAATAAAAATTAATCCAACCTTAAAAATCATAATTCGCTAAACATCTCAATTTATACAAGTAGGAAGATTCTCTCAAAAAATCGCCAACAAAAAACTTCGCGTAGTCGAGGCGCCAAAATACTAGTGTACTCTTTTTCTTCTTCTTCCTCCTCTTCTTCTGTTTCATATCTATGTCATGTGATTCACCCTTCAAAAGTTTGTAGCTTCGTAGGTTTCTTCCAAGTTAACTGCTTCATTGTTCCTTTTTCCCGTAAAGTTGGTAAGCGTGGGGACCCACTATCTTACTCCATTATTCGTCCTCGTCCTTCTGCAAAATCAAGTGGAGCAACTCACAATTGGGCCTCTCTTTATTATTTAGGCCTATAAAATAATAAGGAAATAGTAAAAAATATGTGAATATAAAAAGCTTAAAAAAATATATTGATCAATTTTTAATTATAAAAATTAATATGTCATAACTTATTAAGTTATGGTTTATAATTAGATAAGTTATAGACAAACTTGTTAAATTATAGTTCATAACCAGACAAGTTATGGACGAAAATATTAATTTGACATGTTTATTAACTTATGTAAACTATTGGCCTATTAATTTTAATTCATCTCAAGTTTTGGCCTATTTCTCTCTTTCCCCCAAAATAATATTAGTTTTGATCATATTTTTTTCATTTTTTAGAGGAAATTATTTGGTTCATAGATTCAGAATCATTCTCACTTTACGTGTATTTTTTGTGAGAGAAAATATTATAACGAACCACAAATCATTATTCGAATCATAACATGAATCCAGCAACCAAACAACCCAATAATTTTATTTTTATTATTTATTTTTAATAAATATTCTATTAATTAATATAATTATTTGACTAAAAAATATTAATCAAAAGTTAGAAATAAAAACTTAGACTCATACATTTAAAGAAATATTTATCTCATTTCCCTCATTTTCTAAAGCAAGCTTTAAGAGGGTAAGGAAAAAATCCAATTTTAACACCCGTTTGCTAAACGTGTTGGATTGCAATAGTTTAACAAGTTCGGGGAGTTGATAGCTAAAATTAAAAAATATGAGGGGACAATGGCAATAAAAACGCAATGATATTTATCCCCAAGCTTACGTTCAAATAAGTCAAGGGCTCAGACCACTGTCCCTTCGTTTCCCTTCTGCTTCTTCTTTCCTCTTCCTTCTTTTCCCATTTCTTTCTTCTTTTCCTTTCTATCCTTAATTTGCGGCTATCGTCTTTGAGAAAACATGAAGCGGCTCCCACACGTTTAGGGCTATGCCCACTTGTATGTATGTTTAGTGTTTTGACGTTTTTAGTTTTCTTTCTTTCTTTCTTCTTGTTTCGTCTGTAACAGTTTGTGTGAGTTTATCTCTCTAATGGGGGCGGAGGAGATAACCTCCGATTTGAAAATCTCGGAGTTGAAGCAGGGCGTTCTCTGCAAAGCGCACGAAGAATTCCATTCCCAGGCTTCTTCGATGCTCGTCTTCAGTCTTCAATGGAGGGACTTGGAGAACCACTTCGAGTCCATTCGCAAGTCGCTGCGAACCCAACTCCAAGGCCTCATTGAACGCGAGGAGCACGTCGCGAGTAGAGAGAGGCAATTGGAGGCTCGAGAGGCGGAATTAAGCTCGAATCTCGATTCGAAAGCGAAGGAATTGGAGGGTATCGAGAAGTTGATCGGAGAACAGGCGAAAGCTCTCGAATTGAGTTTGCAACATCTTGATTCTCTGAAATCGCTGATTCAGGAAAACCGGGAAGAGCTTGAGGTTAAAGAGAGGCAATATGTTGCGATTCAGAAATTGATCAAAGAGGGAGAGGAGGAATTGGAGTCCTTGGAGAAGAGGATAAAGCAGCAATCTAAGGAAGCAGAGTCCAAAGAGAAGGAACTTGATTCGATGCAGAGGAGTTTGAGGAGTTACAAAGACGATATCGAGTTGAAAGATAGGGAATATAATGCGATTCGGAGGTCGGTTGAGGAACGTAAGAAGGGATTCGAGTTGAAAGGGGAGCAACTCAGAATGTGTAGGAGCTCCATTGATGAATGTGAGAAAGAGATTAAGTTGAAAGAGGAAAATCTTAATTCTTTACGGAATTCCATAGCCGAATGCTCGAATGAACTCAAGTTGAAACAAAAGCAACTTCATTTAGTTGAGAAACATCTTGAGTTAAAAGAGAGGAAATTTGTTTCACTGAAACAATCAGTTGACCAATGCGCTCAACAGTTTGAGATGAAAGAGATGAAAATTGAAGGTTGCTTAAAGGAGCTCGAATTGAAGGAAAAGTTATGTGAATCAAAATCGAGGGAACTCGATTTGATGTATAAGAAGGTTGAGGAATGCCTTAAAGAATGTGAAGTGAAAGAGAAGAATTTTAGTTCACTCCAAAAATTGGTACAGAAACGTTCACGTGAACTTGAAGCCAAAGAGAGTCGATTTAAGAAAACTGTCGTTGAGTTTAAAATGAGACGGAAAGAGTTAGAGTCGTCTGAAAAATCAAATGAGGTGAGAGTGAAAGAAAAGACTAATATCCTCCCTTTTCAAGTAAAGGTTGAGCAACCTGAATATACTCATGCCAACAATGCTGCAATTTCTCAATCCATCACAAAGACGGGAAAAGACTTGCAGTTCATATTGAATCGGCATTTGAAGAGGCACGATTCCGTTTGTGGTGAACTTTTTTCTGTTCTTCAAGCGTCGCCAGATCCTGCGAAGTTGGTGTTGGATGCGATGGAGGGGTTTTATCCTTCGCAGTCGAGAGGGCAAAACAGCAAGTTCGATGTGAATATTGTTAGGAGAAGCTGCATTCTTTTGTTGGAGCAGCTAATTGGATGCTCGGCTCAGATTAAACCTCAGGTGAGAGAAGAAGCGGTGAAGTTGGCGAGTGATTGGAAGGCTAAGATGAAGAAGGAGAATTACTTGGAGGCTGTGGGTTTTATGCAGTTCTTAACTAGCTATAGATTGGCATCTACATTTGATGCGAATGAGCTTCGCAGTCTTCTTGATATTGTTGGGCAAAGACAAGGATCGGAACTACGTCAAACCCTTTCAACCGCAGATAAAGCACCTGGTAATCTTCTATCTACTTCTGTTTAAATTATTAGGTATATGATATACACATGATAAAATTTGGTTGTTTGATCGAGTCCAAATTTCATGATTCTTTTTTGTTTTACTCTTAAGCTTGAGTAGAAATTTGTATAGCATTGCCAACAAATGTCTTTAGGGATCTCGATTATCCTTCCTTGCAAAACGTGAGAGAGTTGTCTAAAATATGCCTTTGTTGGTTTGAACCAAAAAGTTTTGGTTCACTTTTTTTCTACAATGTTTTCTCTCACAAAAAAATTAACAGATGAACCAAAGGAGTTATATATTTCTTCAGTTGTCCAGCAGCATTGGTTGCATTTCTGGACCTGCCACTTTTACCTCGAATGAATTTAACATTCAATATGTTTTAGATTTTCCTTCTATATGAGTTGTGTACCTGGATAGATTTTCAATGACATCTTTTAATAACTAAATTACAAGGTTTTTTTTTTTTTTTTTTTTTCTGGAGCATGCATGTAAAATGCCTTTTTGGTTAGAATTATTTTTCCTGGCTTCTATTCTGAAATATATAGCCTGGAAGGATAGCAAGTCCCCTTGCTGGAGCTACAAACAACAGATTTTGAAAGGGTCCTACGGTTATCAGGTGTCAGCAGATTAGTTGATTGCCAGAAATTATGCACATTGTTTACAAATTACAATACTAGAAACTAGCAAGAAATTTCATTTTTTCTTCACAGTTACTATTAAAATCGAGCAAGCGGAAAATTCAGCTGCCGGTGTTGTGACAAGCTCTTCAAATCTTCAGTTGAGCACCACGCAGAATGACATTTTTGCTCAACTTCAAACGTTACCTGATCCGGCGAACTTTGTCT